TATTTTTAAATTTTCTATTTAAATTATAAAAATCAAATTTTAGGAACACATGTCTACCGCAACTACTTTATCAAAAGAAAATAATACATTAGGACTTGGCTTGTTTAATTCGCAAAAGACTCCACAAACATTTACGGTATGTTTTAATATTCATTATACTGGAGTTCGGACTTGGACCGGGGCGGAATTTTCCCGAAAACCTGAGGTATTTGAGGTTTTTCGGTGTTTAGCCCGGAAAATCTGACCCATGTCAACTTGAAGGAAGGAAGAGACCCGTATACCGGGCCTGGTAATGTGAAAAGGTTCGAACTCTAATATTCCTGAAGGTACTCGTGTCTGATGAGACATTATTCAATACTCAATTTTATTCTTAAGGAAAGTCCCAATCTTCTTCGATTGGTACCACGTGCTCTTGCTTGTAAGGGAAATGCTTCGGTTAAACGAAACGCTGCACCTGTCTTCCGCCAAATTCAATATGAGGAATCTGGAGAACTTGAGGATTTTATCTCCCAACCGCAATTGGGAGGGAAAATTTACAATTTACGTGATGAATTTGAATGCATTACTGTTGATACTCCAATTGATAACGATACTACTCCTGTTGCTGATAAAAACAGACCAACTACAAGTTGTAATGGATTTGCTCATGTAGCTGCTGAAGGTTTTGTTTTTTATATTTTTAGTTGAAAAGAGAGGCTTTCGACTTGTTGGTATTATTCGATAGAGCATAGTCAGTAAAACATGTTCCCAATTTTTACCATTTGTGGCTACGGAGCCAGTTTGGATAGTTATTGGGGTTCACTATGCTCTATTAAATAATACCAAAAAAGATCGAAATTAATATTCACATGTTCGAAGGGTCCCTTTGTAAAAATTCTTTTATTTAAGAACCGTGCAATGGAGTTGATATGACACCTAAATTAATCAAATCGAAATCCGTAGAAAATGGAGTCCCTATTCACACCAAAACACAACTTGATAGTCCTGCCAATGTAGTCAAAGCCAGCTCCTTCCCAAATACAAATATTATAGGCAGTGATGCTCGTGATCAACAATGGTAAATTTTTTAATCGTTTATTCTTTTATTTTTTGGCAAAGTTTTAGGTTAAGATCAATATATTCTGAAAATGAGAGACCTTCAACATCACATTTTAATAATGGAACTCCGTCTCGTAAAAGAGTTTTATCTGACAGATGTGAACAAGAAAGTCAATTTCCAAAAGTTGATAGAACTACAATATTTAATACTTGGGACGGTTGTAATGCTTTGGTTTGTCTTTTTTAGAATTTAAAAAATGAATTTTTTGACTTTAGAATGGAAATCCATGCGCTTCTGGTTTGATCAATCCAATGAACAATTGTTTTTTGAATAGTGTTTTGCAAGCAGTTGTGCATCTTCCTCACTTGGCTAGAATGATTCTTGATCCAAAAGATGTGAGAATGTGTAGGAAAGCGTCAGGTTTTTTAAATTTTTTATACGAAAATTTTTTTCTTTTAAGTCAAAATGAATGGCGTTGACTGTTTCCATTGTGGATTGAGGGCTCACATTCGTAAAGCCATCGATTCTAGGAATCCTTTAAATACAAATTGGATACAGACATTTTTAAGAAGTATTTTTTATTTTTTAACTTTAACAATATTTTTCAAAGAAATTTTCCCTCATCATCGTCATGGATGTCAGGAGGATGCACACGAAATGCTGACACTTTTATTGGGTGCTTTGGAGATCGCTCCTCCCAAAACAACATTAAATGGACTTAAAATTCATGGAGTAAGTCCCTCAACCCCAATAGAACAAATATTTGGTGGAAATATGCGAAATCAAGGTTAGAAGGAATTTTAAACTTATAGAAAGAATTTTTAGTTGTTTGTAATACTTGCAATGCTGAACACATCAATTATGAGAGAATTCGTGAAATGAATTTGGGACTGACACGGACATATAATGCTGACGTGGTGACACTAATTGATGACTTTTTTAAAGATGAACAACTTCAAAATTTTTTTTGTTCAAAGTTTGGCTTTTTTTAATTTTTAAAGAAAAAAATTTTTTTAAAGTTGCAAAAAGAAGCAAACTGCAACTAGACATACTTTTTTGTTGAGTGCTCCATGTGTTTTAATTATTCAAATAAAACGTTTCAATCCTTATGGAGGAAAGAATCGGACACCTGTTAGAGCAAATGTAAGTGTTTTTTTTGTTTTATTTTGTAAAATTTTAATTTAAAATTTTTAAAGAAAGTCGTCAATCTGACCAAACATTCATATCGTCAAGAGCACCTTGTTTATCAACTACACGGTCTCATTCAACACATTGGTGGTGGTTTAAATTTTGGACACTATACTTGCGCTATGCGTGGCTTTAACAACAGAGACATGTTTTTGTTTGATGATTCTGAGGTTTTTTTTGTTGTTTTATTTGTAAAGAATAAATTTTTTTAGAGAAGACCAATACCTTTGAGCCATGCCATGGAGAAAATGGAGCCGTACATTTTGTTTTATACTCGGGTATTTTAATTTTTTTTGAAAAATTTTTTGTAAATATTTCGAATTAAAAAATTTAAAAATTCTATTTGACGTTGAAATGTAAGATTTTTTATGATTTTTAAAAATCAGGTATATAACGAAGAAACATTTTAAGAAAAAATAACTTTTTGGGTAAAAAATTGTGTTAAAAATGTCAACAAAAGATTGCTCTAACAAAATTCAGTATCAACAGCCAAATAAACAAATTAAACAAATTCCTCGACGTTCATTTGAAGGATGCCAACCAAATTATGCCAAACAGCCAAAAATAGATACAGTGGGGTGCAAAAGTAATGACTCATGGGTCGCGCAAAGTAATTTAGTACTATAACTTTTTAGGAAATGGTCCAAATGAAACTGTTAATGGATGAAAATATTCCCCAAAGTGTCAGCTTCAAATATATATAAAACATGGCTAAAATTAATTTCAAGTGTGGAAGTTAAAAATTTTCAAACGAGACCACCTCAATTTTAGCTGGTGCAAAAGTAATGACTCAAAATTTTATCGAATCATATCTCTGACTAGTTGTAAAAAAATTTTTTCACAAAAGATTCCATCAAACATATACATATAGTGATACTATAAACAAAAAAAATTAGGCTCATATCTCTACTCAAAGTCGAGATCCAGACACCTCGAAAAAGTCAAAAATCAACGTAAAACACGGGTAGGTCTCTTAGAAAAATTTTTTCGACCCCTTACACGTAAAATAAAAATTCAATTCTAGCTCATTCGAAAGCCCTTAAAATTTACTACAAAATAGCCGAATCGAATCTTTCAGAAAAAAATTTCATAGAGAGTTACAGACCGCTAAACTCGCTAAGCATCGAAATACGCTTAATTTACCCTATAAAATGGCCTTTTTGGCAGCTTCGCGAGTTTAGCGGTCTGTATCTCTCTATGAAATGTTTTTCTGAAAAATTCGATTCGGCTATCTTGTAGCAAATTTCAAGGGCTTTCGAATGAGCCTAAATTTTTTTCGACCCCTCATACTTAAGGGGTCGAAAAAATTTTTCAAAGAGACCTACCCGTGTTTTACGTTGATTTTTGACTTTTTCGAGGTGTCTGGATCTCGACTTTGAGTAGAGATATGAGCCTAATTTTTTTTGTTTATAGTATCACTATATGTATATGTTTGATAAAATCTTTTGTGAAAAAATTTTTTTACAACTAGTCAGAGATATGATTCGATAAAATTTTGAGTCATTACTTTTGCACCAGCTAAAATTGAGGTGGTCTCGTTTGAAAATTTTTAACTTCCACACTTGAAATTAATTTTAGCCATGTTTTATATATATTTGAAGCTGACACTTTGGGGAATATTTTCATCTATTAACAGTTTCATTTGGACCATTTCCTAAAAAGTTATAGTACTAAATTACTTTGCGCGACCCATGAGTCATTACTTTTGCACCCCACTGTAATTATAATAATAACAATACAACACCAACAGCAAATTCTTTTATTGGAACATCAAAAATGTTTAATCAGACTTTTGGTTCATACATAAATTGATTGAAAAATGAGGGAGAGAGAGGGAAATTTATAAAAAAAAAAAGAAAAATTTTATTTATTAGAATTCGGGAAGAATAATCTAAAAAAGATTTTAAAAGTCAACATTTCGGGTAAAGATGGATATTTTTTAGGAGAGTTTAAAATCTTTATGCATTTCCGGGCCCGGCATTCGGGGGAGGGTTTCTTTTATAAATTGAGTCGGGTCGGAGGGGTTTGCGGGCTAAAACTCCAAAAAAACCTGATTCTTGGCTAAAAAAGAATCACTTCATTTTCACCGAAATCCCTTCATTTTATCAAAAGATCTTCTGTCACTCGGCTCTTAAACCCATATCTTAAGCCCGCCCCGGTTTCAAACTCCTAACTTTTAGGAGAAAAAAAAGCAACTATAATTGAAGTGTTGATTTTTGTAAATCTTTTGGGTTGTCCTAAAAATTTAGTTATGATTGATTGATTAAATTTTGTGTACTTGATTGATATATAAAATATAAAAAAAGAATATGCCCCCATTTAATTTATATCCAATTTTTGTTAGGAAAAAAAATAAAAACTTTGTTTTAATTGTTTGATGTTTTTACGTTTGTTATATATTATTTACTTGGCTTTTTTTCTAAAAATGCGCATAAATTATATTTACATGGTTTATTAAAATTTTTTTAAAATTTTTATGGGGTTTTCAAAAGCCCGAATATTTTTTTAATTAAATGAATTTTTATTTGATAATTAGAGGAATTATATAAGAGTTGGATTTGCGTGTCAATCCTTTTCCCCTTACCTTTCCTCCTATCCGTAACTAGGGTAGATGGGGGTTGTTGATTGCGTGCTGTTCGTTTTAGCTTGTTCTCCTTTTTTGGAGAAATGTGAAAATTCCATTCTATAACTTTAAAAAAGCATAAATAATAGAGTCTTGTCTCAACCCCATCCCCTCAAATTTTTATTTTTTAAAATAAATTTTTAGGAATAAATGTTACAAGTAAACAAAGCTATTTTTGCGTCGTTGAGGAAGTTGTCTTTGTCTGTTGCTAATTGTGGAGGTTTTGTTTTGGAATTTTCAAATTAAAATTGTTTTAAAGGACATGGCCTTGTAGTTCATCGAGATAGTAAAGAAAACAGTCCTGAGACGCCTTTTAAATTTACTCAGGAGAATTTGAAGAAGATTGAGTCGTTGCTTGCAACCTTTCCTGAAGGTCACAAGGTTGTTTGGTTATTTTAATATTTAGTTTGTTAACTTGGAGGGTTAGGTGATTGGGGTTGTCACTAATTTTCTCAATTATTGCTTTTAGCAGGCTGCTCTACTTCCAGTTCTCGACTTGGCGCAACGCCAAAATAGATGGCTGCCAATCTCAGCTATGCATGAAGTTGCTCGGATTTTGGGTATTTATTATACTGACTTAAGTATCAAATAAAAGTTTTTTTCAGAAATTCCAAGGATGCGAGTTTACGAAGTGGCTACTTTCTACACAATGTATAACAGAGAACCTGTCGGTAAATACTTTATTCAACTTTGTGGGACAACTCCTTGTATGCTTCGCGGGGCTGAGACAATTATGGAAGCTATCTGCAAAAAACTTGGTTCTAATTTTTTATTGATTTATTTTACATTTATTTTTGGCAGAAATAAAGCCTGGTGGTACAACTAAAGATGGATTATTTACTGTTAAGGAAGTTGAATGCCTTGGTGCTTGTGTAAATGCTCCAATGGTTCAGGTTACTTTTCTATTATATTTTTAGGAATTTCGGCCATCCCTGATAAGGATTGTGAAATTAATGAATATTGGGGAGATGATTAGTGAATTAAGTAGGAAATTATTTTAGTTGAGGTTGTTAGAAGGAAAAATGTTAGAATATGTTGAGGATTCATTTATCGTTAGAATTTTGATCACCAGCTTTTTTTTCAATTTTTTTGAGTTCCACAAATCTGGGTTCCCCAAAATTTTTATTTGAGTTTCCCAAATTTAGGGTTCCCCAACTTTTTTCATATTTGGAATTGAAGTTCCTCCACTTATAGTTAATCGAAAACGGAGTTTAATTACTTTTTTCTTTTTAAGATAAACGATGATTATTATGAGGATTTAACTGTTGACGATATCAATGAAATTATTGATGATCTTAAAAATGGGAAGAGACCTTTGCCTGGCCCGAAAAGTGGAAGATTGGCGTCTGAACCTATAAAATCAAAAACTTCGTTAACAGAACCTCCAAAGGGACCTGGTTTTGGTATTCAAGAAGGATTGTAGGAAAATTTTATTTTTTGTATAGTTTTTGTTTATTTTGGGATATGGAGTCCGCATACTTTATTAAAAAATTTTTATATAAATTTTATTATTCTGTGTATAATATGTGGACTTTTGCTCGTTTTAGGCTTTTTTTCTTTCAATCTGTTTGATAAATTGGCTTATATTTTTTGCATCTGGATTGTTCAAATGATTTTTAGTCATGAATTTTTGTCTAACTTTTCTATTAAAAATATTCAGATTTTTATTATAAAATTTTCTACAATTAATCTCAATTAATGGAATCAGAAGCTGACTTTGGCAATGGCTTATTAAGCTCGGAAGTTGGACATCGACGTCGTTCTACTTCAGTCTCTGATGATTATTCAGTTCAGAAGACAAATGATGATGCAACGGAATGTAAATTTGTTGCTGTTCAGGTTATTTTGTTTAGAGTGTTTTCTAAGGGGCTGGGTTAAATGATACTTCTACATGTTTTGAGGTTTTTATAAGATTGCCTCAAAAGTTATAGCTAGCTACAGGAGCTTAGGCGCGGGTTCTGGTAGCTTGATTGAAGTATAACTGCGATTGAATAACTGCCTAGCAATAACTGCAAAAAGGTTTAAAGTTTATGTTGCCCTATGGTTTTAGCTTTGCTATGTTTCAAGATCAAAAATAATTTTAATTTTAGCAAAAATATTACATCGACAACTTCATCGGAGCATTTATTTACTGTGCTGATCACCACAGAGATCCAGAAATTGTTCGTGGTTATTGGGCTCGCACAGCAGCAATTACTTCTCTTGTTTCACAATTTATTAAGGTTTCTTTTAAAATTTTTCTTATTCCTTTTTTACTTTTAAATTTTAGATTTCTGGTCCTTCTGCTCAAATTATTAGTTTGGGAGCTGGTTTTGATACACTATATTGGCGTTTAAAAGAAAGTGGACACAACTTTAACAAATTTGTGGAATTTGACTTTAGCAGTGTTACATCCAAAAAAATTCGTTTAATTCAAAGAAGCAAAAATGTCAATTTGGCTGGATATTTTAGCAAGCCTGGTAAATATTTTTTTTTAATTTTTTGTCTACTTAAGAGAAAATCTTTAAGCTATTGAGAGTCAACATAGTGACCTACATTGTGGGGATTATCATTTAATTGGAGCTGATCTGAGGCAAATACGCGAATTTGAACAAAAATTGACAACTGCTGAACTAGACAATTCTCAACCTACTTTAATTATTGCTGAATGTTTATTTGTTTATATGGATGTGGAACACTCATACAATTTAATTAAAGAATTGACTAAATATTTTGAAACGTTGGCATTAATTAATTATGAACAGGTTTTCTTTTAATGTTTGTGGGGTTGTCCTTCTTGGTCTTAAAAGAGTGCAACAGTGCTGAATAGGCTTGTCGACATTGGCATTAATTAATGATTTTTCGGTTCGGTTCCGGATATCCGAAGATTTTCCAAGAGCCGACAATCCTAGTGCTTAAGCTAGCTCCGGAGCCAATAATTTTAAAAACTAGAGCCACAAATGCGCAATACCCAATATTGGTCCGCAATCTCAAGGTACTTTATAACAAAAGGGGTATATATCAGAAAGGTTTTTATAATCCTAATGGAGAATATTTCCAAAGATGGTACCTTTTTCGATAGATTTTTTGGAATTATTAAATAAAAGCCTATATTAGGTCAATATGAACGATAACTTCAGCAAGGTTATGCTTGACAATTTAAATAATCGAGGTATTCATTTACCTGGCCTAGCTGTTTGTGAATCTTTATCAACACAAAAACAAAGGTTTTTTGTTTTTTTTATTTTGGTTATTTTTTATTTTGAGATTCTCAAGTGTTGGATTTTCGACAGTAAAAGGATGGACAATTAATGAAATTTATACCAAATTTTTGCCGGAGCAAGAGGTTCAAAGGTTTGAAAATTTTTCTTTTTTTTCGGAATTTATTTCCACTCATCTAAAATTTTTTTGTTTAATTTTGGACCTTTTAATGATTTTAAATTTAAGAATAGAAAAATTGGATCCTTTGGATGAACGTGAATTGCTTACACAACTTTTGGAACATTATTGTCTAATTTATGCATTTAAAGATTCGACTAAGGAAAAACTTGCCGATTTAATTGTTCAATGATCTTTAATATTTTTAAAATAATCTCTATTTTTTTATTAATTAATTAGTTGTAAAAATTACTTTTTTATTTTTTCGTAAAAAATTTTTTAGACTACTCGTTTTTAGAACTAGGGATAAATAAAATTTAAACTTTTGTTTTACTTTTGTTTAATCAGTTAACGAATTTGAAAAGTCGCAACTTGAATTTTTTCAAGTTTCTTTCTAATATCCTCTTGAAATTCTTCCAAAACTTGAATGTGCTGTTCTTCGAGTAATTCATCAAGTTAGAAGATTTTTTTGTTTTTTAATAAAATTGTTGGCCGTATCTGAAAATAATGCTGCAATCATATTTTTTCCTTATTCTTCAAAATGGTTAATTTTCTCATATTTTTCTCTCTATTTCTGATTTGTGCCTTAAGACTATAAGCGCAATAGATTATTTTTCTTCAATTTTGTGAGCATTTACTTTTTTCCTGTCCGATGTGTGTGCGTGCTTTGTCTGTCCGAGTTCGTCCGTTTGTCTGTGTCCGTCCGTGTTTTGCTGTCTGTCCGAGTTCGTCCGTGTTTTGTCAAAACTGTCCGAGTTCGTCCGTGTTTTGTCTGTCTGTCCTTGTCCGTCCGTATTTTGCTGTCTGTCCGAGTTCGTACGTGTTTTGTCTGTCTGTCCTTGTCCGTCCGAGTCCGTCCGTGTTTTTTGTCCGAGTCCGTCAGTGTTTTGTCTGCCCGTGTTCGTCCGTATGTTCTGTCCGTCTTCGTCTGTGTTTTGTCTGTCCATGTTTTACAACACAAAAATGTAATATTTTTTTATTTTTTGCTTTTAATCTTTTCTCTATAATTACATTTAAACATGCCTCAGGGAAATTCATTGGAACTGAACGAGTGAAAAAGTCTGACCTTTCTGTACAATTTAAGGAAAAATATGGAAAGGAAAAAATGAAGGAAAAAATATGATTGCAGCATTATTTTCAGATACGGCCAAATTGTTTATTTTTTGTTTTTCTGATCAATTTATCGGTAGTAAATACATAAAACAGAACGCTTAGGGAAGAAAAACATTCAAAGCGCTTCAGTCTCGATTTACCGAAATTTGAATGAGATAATTCCGCGAAATTTCTTCTCCAACTACAAAAGTCGAAATGGTAACACAAATTGGAAAGTATAAAAGTGAAATTTTTTCATTGTTCTTTATTCAATTTCGTTTTTCTATTGTTCTTTATTCAAATTTTTTTCTTCGTTCTTTTAATTCCTAACTTTTTCGTTGTTTTATTGTTGTTTTCTAGTTCGATTAAACATATTTTTTAATCAAAAATGACAGTCAACATAATGTATACATGGAAGTTGGACTTGGGTGGTGGAGCTGGCTCTAGATCTCTTATTAAACTTGCTGCTTCTGACCAAACTATAAATCCACCAGGTTATCATCAAGGATTTATTGTTTCTCAACAGGTTTTTTAATTTAATTTTTCTATAGTTTTGTATAAATTCAGGTGGAAACTGTCTCTAAGAACGAACAACAACAGCAACATTTATTGAATAAAAGAGCTTGGGATGTTGCTTTGGGACCATTGAAAGCTTTGCCAATGAACATGTCTGTGTACTTATTTTTTTCTTTTTTGGGTCCTCTACGTTTAAGAGATAATTTTTGTATAGGGGGTTCTGAAGGTGGTAGTTTCGGGTTTATTTTGGTCCTCATCCTCTTTAAATACGAGGCAGGTCTATAATTTTTTTAGAAAGTAAGACATTTTATTCCAGCCAGAAACCAAATTCTTAACTTTCTCCGGTTATAAAACAATGACATTTCATCCCAAAAACAGGTTTATGATGTACATGGCTGGAAACACAATATCGATATTTCCAATAATGATGGTTATGATGATGGTTTGGAGACCAATAAAAACACTTTTGTCAGTAAATGCAACATTCAAAGTTATGGAGGTGTATTTTTTATTTTTTTAGAAATTTATTAAAATTATTTTTAAAGCAAGAATATGGTTCTTCTTTGATTTTACACAAAATTGTTTTTATTTTGGGAAATTTGGGAGCAGTTGCTTTAGCAGTTTATAAATGCCACACAATGGGATTATTGCCAAATCATGAATCTGATTGGTTGGATTTTATGTCTGAACCAGAAAGATTACAATTATCTTTGTCTTTTGATATTGTTTAATTATATTTTTGAAGGATTAGGGTTTGTTTTAGAGGTTAAAATGTTTTTTAATATTAAGAGACTCAACGTCTCGATAAGACGTTACAAATCAAAAATAACTTATTAAATATTAATTTCTATTCATTCCAGGATGTACCAGTTCCACCATTCAAATGCGTATCAAATGGATGGCGTTTCGAATTGTTTTATCGTGAGTACTTTCTTGGCTATTTTTACAAAAAATTATATGCAATTTATTTAAAAAAATTGGCTGCTCAATCAATTTCAGATAACTTCATTTATGTTAGCATGTGTGGTTCTGGAACGACTAAGGTTATCTCATTGGGCTTCAAAAATAATATAAAAGTATCGAAGGGGCACCACCGAGGACATGAAATAAACAATGAACGTGCAATCTTGAATGCGCTTCATCTGGAACAAAGGTTTAAATTTCTTTTTTAATCACGAGGGACCGAAATACCCTCAAAACATTCCCAACAGTTTTACTTTAGAATTGATCAAATTTGCCAACCTATTTTTTCTTATGAAGTTTGTCTTTTCTTTATTTTCTAGTAAAATCAGATTTTTTAGTCATGGCAGCTTCTTCCTCTACATCTGTACTTGGAAGTATGGAAATTATTGAATGCGCTGACAAGGATGAACTCGAATTCAAATTAAAAATGTTTGTTGGAGAAGAAAATGTCAAATGGGTCAAAATGGAGCATGATGAAAATGGAAAGGTTGCTATGTAAACTTTTAAATAGCTTTTCTTAATAACTTTAAAGCTCACCTCTGCCAATCCTTACCTGGAAAAAATTTATAGAAAATCTTTTTATTTATCTAGTTGTTCGTTTTTCAACTGCAAAATGGAGATGATTTCATTTTAATGATGAAAACATCATTAAAATTGCCACATAAAATAACTAAATTTCATAAATTTGAAAAACTATAAATTCTTTCCAAGGTGCTGTTATGAAAATTGCGATATGGAAATGGTTGGATGCCCGAGTGATTACACAATCAAAGTCAAGACTAAAGGATATGCTGACCATCCGGGATTGGAAGATAAGGGAGTCGTCAATGCTCTCCACTTATTCATTCCAAAAAAAGAATAGAAGAAGCAAACGAAGAACAATATGTCTAATAGAAATCTTTTTCTAAAATAAGTGTAATGCCATCATCAATGCTTCATCAATAGCACTTCCTTGGTGATTATGACCAGTTGCAGTAAACTTAATACATAACTCGTCGAAACATCCAATCATCTCCATTTTGCAGTTGAAAAACGAACAACTAGATAAATAAAAAGATTTTCTATAAATTTTTTCCAGGTAAGGATTGGCAGAGGTGAGCTTTAAAGTTATTAAGAAAAGCTATTTAAAAGTTTACATAGCAACCTTTCCATTTTCATCATGCTCCATTTTGACCCATTTGACATTTTCTTCTCCAACAAACATTTTTAATTTGAATTCGAGTTCATCCTTGTCAGCGCATTCAATAATTTCCATACTTCCAAGTACAGATGTAGAGGAAGAAGCTGCCATGACTAAAAAATCTGATTTTACTAGAAAATAAAGAAAAGACAAACTTCATAAGAAAAAATAGGTTGGCAAATTTGATCAATTCTAAAGTAAAACTGTTGGGAATGTTTTGAGGGTATTTCGGTCCCTCGTGATTAAAAAAGAAATTTAAACCTTTGTTCCAGATGAAGCGCATTCAAGATTGCACGTTCATTGTTTATTTCATGTCCTCGGTGGTGCCCCTTCGATACTTTTATATTATTTTTGAAGCCCAATGAGATAACCTTAGTCGTTCCAGAACCACACATGCTAACATAAATGAAGTTATCTGAAATTGATTGAGCAGCCAATTTTTTTTAAATAAATTGCATATAATTTTTTGTAAAAATAGCCAAGAAAGTACTCACGATAAAACAATTCGAAACGCCATCCATTTGATACGCATTTGAATGGTAGAACTGGTACATCCTGGAATGAATGAAAATGAATATTTAAAACGTTATTTTTGTTAGGTGACGTTTTATCGGGATTCGATTGTATAGTGTAGTATTTCAAATCCTAATCCTTTTAATTAATTTTTATTAATTTTGTTTATTTTTTAATTATATAATATATATTTTAAAAAATAAATTTTATTATTTTTTGAATTTTTTTATTTAATTGTTTAAATATTTTTCTAAAAATATTTTTCTACTTTAATATTATTAAATTGATATTTATCAGTTCTAGATCAAAAAACAAAATTAAATGGAAGCATTAAAAATATCTCAAAATATTTTCAAGGTCAATTCTTCTACCATTTTGTGATTTAGGCCAATCTTCAATTTTTGCAGGAATTATGAGTTAGTTTGTTTTTTTCTTTTTAAAAGTTTAAAGTTAGGGGGTCAAAGAGGTAGTTAACTCATTATTTTTTCGGTTTATTAATTTACCAGTTTATTAAAAAAGGGAGAGAGGGTATTTTATTCCATCCCTACATACTCCAAACTTTTTTTTGACTGGTGATCTATTTCCTAGTTTCGTGATTTTATTTTTTGTTTCTTTCTCAAAAATCATTTAAGAAATAATTTTGACAGCTAGTCTTCCTAAATTCTTAAAATTTTCCTAAAAAATTTTTTCTTTCCGCATCTTTATTTTAAAAAAGCAGCTAATCTCCTTCCTAAATTTTTAAAATTTTTCCTGAAAAAAATTTTCTTTCCGCTAGTCATCTTTATTTAAAAAAATTTTTTTCTTAATATTTTTCTCTTCTCCAAATCATCTAAAATAATTTCAAGTATAACTTTTTTTAATTTTCTTTCTACTTGTTTACACAAAAATTTACTAAATTTTTTGGCAAACAAAAAAAATTTAATTTAAAAAAATGTACTAAAAATGACACTCTTCTACCCTTCTCCTAAGGGTTAAAATATTGATTTTTTATATAAAGTGACAGAACCACCCGGCCAATTTTCTTTTTCCTCTTTTTTTCTAAGAGTGAATAGAAAATTTTTTCTTAAAATACACTCAATTCTATTTGCTACTTTATTTTTTACTACCAGTCAGTTCCTCCACTACTACTTTATTTTTTCTATTGATTCTTTTTGTTTGTACAATTTTTGTTTTATAGATGCTATTTTTTAAATTATTTTTTTAATTTTGGAAAATTAATAGGATATTTTTAATTATTTTTCTTTAAATTTAATTTAAGGAGATATTTAATTAGGACATAAGAGTCATTTATACTCAGAAGAGGGATTCATACTCACAAAATTCAGACTAACGATTCAAGGTTTATAGTAGGGTTGTTGGCGACCGGTTTTAAACCCGGTAATTTGTGAAAATGAGTGATTTTAGTTAAAATTCCCCCAAAAATAAACCGGAATTTGTCTAAAACTTAAAACCGAAAACCGGGTTTCTAAAATTTAAATTAACCGAAAACCAGGGATACAGGTTAATAACCGGTTACAACGTTAGTTGTTGGTTTCAGGCTTCTGCGCTCACGGTTTCGCGTGAGCGTTGGTTTCAGGCCCACAAAATTCTGACTCTAATAATTAATTTTGTAAATTTTTATTTTCAAAAATTAACAAAATTCTTTTTATTTTATTTTTGACAAAGTCCTCTTTTATTTATCATTTTTTCTGATATAAATTGTGGCCATACAAACAAATATACTTTTCTAATCAGTTTTATTTTTAATCCGTTTAAAATGTGTTCTCTTTATATACTTATGAAATCATTAAAAAAAATTTTTTGATAGGAAAATTATTTTTAAAAAAATATAATTATTATTATTTATTTTTAAGTACCAAAAAATGAATTTTCGACAGCCTTATTTTATTGCTCTATTTATTTATCAATTCTCATTCTTGGCAGATTTGGTTGTTGGGGAAGGGTAAAAAAATTTTTTTTTAATTTTTAATTGAAATATTTTTTAATTTATTTTTAGACCTTCAAAAAATGCAACAGGACAAGTTAGCTGTTATGTATGTAATTCAGACAATGAGGGCCAAAAGGATTGTGAAAGTACTGACTTGGATAAACTTAAACCGTTTTTGAAGGTTTTTTTTTTGATTTTAAATTTTTTTTAATTTTTAAAATTAATTTTCTCAGCCCTGTCCAGTATTGCCTGATGGCCCTCTAGTTGGAAGACCAGCCGAATCTTGTAGAAAAGTTTTGCAGCAAGTTGAATTTGGCAAAACAGAAATAAATAATGTTGTGAGAGAATGTGGATATAATAATGAAGTATTGGATGGAAAACGAAGAGCTGGGAACAGTGGAATTAATTTGAAGATTTGGCAGTGCATTAATACGGATGTGAGGAATTTTTTTAATTAATTTTTAATTTAATAAATTTGGAAAAATACATTTTGGGTGTGCGCAAAAGAATTAGTTTAAGGGAAACGCCAAAAAGCAATAAAAAGGTAACTGTAAAAACGCAATTGCGCACACTTGAAATTCTAATTTTGATTAAATTATTTTTGGTGTGCGCAAAAGAAATAGTTTAATGGTGAACGCCAAAAAACGCAATAAAAAAGTAACTGTAATAACGCAATTGCGCACACCTGAATTAAAAAAAATTTTTTCAATAAAAAAAATCTTAAAAAATTTAGAACAACAACCCATGTAATTCTGCATTGAATAACAACATGAATACAATTTTGGCATTAATAATAGGATTTGTTGTAGTGACCGTCTTTTCACGTTTCTAGCCTCTTATTTTTAACAATAAAAATTAGAAAAAAATTAATTTTAAAAATTAATTCATAATAATTAAAATAAGGAAAATTCTCGTTTTTTGTAAAATCCTCATTTTGTTTTTTTTTGTTAAAAAATTATTCTTGTAGTTTTCTAGCTTTATTTGAATATTAGTTTTGATTATTGTATCACTTCTCTTATTTTTATATTACACATATTCTTCGACCTTTTAATGAATAAAATGATTTTTTGTTCGATTTTTTAAGTATAATGAGGTTTTTAATCCTTAAATCTTTATTTCTTTAATCCCCGAAATCTTTCCTTTATTGTTTTCAATGTTAGTTGATCTTCCACCTTACACCGCTTATCGTGAGCTTTCGAATGATATAAAATTAATTCTGATCGAATCTACATTAATAAAGTTATTGTTTGCCAAAGCTAGCTGTCCTGCCTCAACTGACACTTTATTTTTGGGCGGGGGACCATTGATCCCACGGTGTTTTCGAACAATTGTTTTTCCCATCCTTTCATTACTTTGCAATCATTTGTTATTTCCATAAATATTTTTTTGTTTTTTTAGATATTTATTTTAATGACTGAAAACAAAGAAAAACGTGTAGTCAATGAATACCGACTAAATGAAGATAATGAACTTCGATTGGAAGTTGGCAACGAGGAAGTTTTGTTAGAATTGCTCGAGGGAACAGCAGAAATATTTGGTTCGCAATTATCAATGCATAAACGTTATACACTTCCTCCAGGTTTTTTAAATAATTTTTTGAAAAAATTTTACAATTTTAACTTTTAAAAGGTTATCGTGCTGCTATATTTACTTATAAAGGGGCTTTACTTGAAGTAGTTGGGAAGACTGAAAGTATTTATATTGCACAACAAACACCAATGGTTTTCCTTAAATTTTTTAAAAATTAATTCTCATTTTGAAAGATTATTTATTTAAATACTCATGCAGCTTTGGAATCGTTAAGAAGAGTTGCGGAAAGTCAATTATTGGCAGATCCAAATGGCACAGCTAGAGGACCTCGTTTAATGATTACTGGGCCGACAGATGTTGGAAAGACTACACTGTGTAGAATTCTGTGTAATTATGCTGTTAGAGAAGGAAGAAGTCCACTTTACATTGATTTGGATATTGGACAGGTTAAGAATTTTTTCTAAAAGTTAATTAAAAAGCTAGAGAATGTTGTTCGATGGATGGGTTAGTTCGAAATTAAATAATTCAATATATGTTCAGTTTATTTCCTTTAGCATTTAAGTTCTTTTCTGGTTAAGTTGGTAGTGCGTTAGGTTTCGTATTTTGTGGCTGAGGGTTCGAGTCCTGTTCGGGCCCGATACTGTTTTTAACTGTTTTTTTGCCATATTTTTTACAAAAAGTTCTTTTTTGCTAAAATAAAAATTACAAAAAAATTTTTTAAGGGCAGTATATCAATTCCTGGATCTATTGGATGTTTATATATTGAAAAACCAGCAGATATAATTGATGGATTTGATAGAAAACCTGCTTATGTTTACAATGTAAAATTTATTTTTTTTTATTTTCTTTAAATTTTTGTTTAAACTTTAAAGTTTGGACATATTACACCTTCAGCCAATCTAAAGCTTTATGATATGTTGGTAAAAGAATTGGCAGTTGCGGTTAAACAAAAAGCCAAATCTTCATTAAATTGTAATTGTTCTGGGTATATTGTGAATACTTGTGGTTGGGTTAAAGGAGATGGGTTTGTTGAAATTTTTAAATGTTTCTATTAATTCTAATATAGATATGCCTGTATTGTAAATGCAGCTGAGGCATTCGAACCAGATGTAGTTATTGTATTGGATCATGAGAGGCTTTATATTGAATTGCAGCAGGATTTGCCGAGTTATTTGAAGGTTTTTTTTTAATTTTTGTGTATTCTGATTCATTTCATATGAATTTTACAAATGAATTTTACAACAATTACAAAACGAAATTTTCATGAAGCTCTTGTGGCTAGCCAATTCTAAAAACGTCCTTACTATTAAACTTGGGTGTTCTATTTTAGTTCTGTCGTTATTGTGCGATCCGACTGTATGTATTTTCCTGTCTTTTCCCCATCCACGGCAACTCAAATTTTCGAACTTTAGCCAGAAATCCACTTTTCTCACTCCATTTATTCTTCAATATTATTTTTTAATTTTTAGATTTTACACCTTCCAAAATCCGGCGGCGTGGAAAGTCGTCCACAAGAAATGCGAATAGCTCATAGAAGAAAAGCTATACATCGAGTATTTTTTCTTTTGAATATTTTATATAAAATTTTAATTTTTTCAAGTATTTTTATGGAACAAAATCTTTGCGTTTCTCCCCATATTCTTTTGAATTTTCTTATGACAAAATTGGAGATGAACAAGAATTAAGCCTTTATAAAATTGGTGCTGAACAAATCCCAGATTCTTGTTTACCTATTGGAATGGTTGTGGAAGATCATAGAACACAGGTTTAAAAATTTTTTGGGCAGAAAAATTTTTGTTCTTATTCGCAAGAAAAAAGGATTTGGGAACTTTTTTGTTATTTAAGGAACCTAAACTTTGTCTTTTTCATTTTTAAACGAGGATGGATTTTCTGGTCTCGACCGTTTTTAGCTCGGACACCTCGCAACCTTCCCTAGTTAGTTCCTTGATGAGGTTGGGTCCTCCATTTACAAAAAAAACTGTTAGATTAGGGAAGCTTCTTGATATTCAACGGACTTAACCATCTCCTTTTTATTTTTGAACGATTGGTTTTCTTGATTTAAGAAGAAACCTGGGATAAAATGATGAGGTCACAGTCCTCTGTTTAAGAAGAAACTGGGGAAGGTCGTTAACTTCTCACTCAATTTCCTTCTAAAAGCCAAAAACATTCTAAGAGTTAAGGCCAACCTAATTTACTTTTTCTTCATGTAACCACCCCAAATCAGTTCATTTCTATAAAAGACATTTGATCCCATTCACTCGATATTATCTTTAAATATTTTTAACATTTTTAGGTTGTTTCTGTGCCGTTTACTTCAGAACTTTTAAATCATGTTATTGCACTAATGCCACCAGATTCAAAGACGGACCAAACTTTAATTCAAAAGCCGTGTGTTGGATTTTTGGTAATTACTGGAATTGATACAACAAAGAAGACAATAACTCTACTCAGTCCACAACCATATCCTTTGCCTTCAAAAATTGCCCTTTTAACTCAAATTACTTTTGTGGATGATAACAGTTTGTAAATAAAATACAAGAACGTTCAAATTGTATTATCAATTTTTGAAGTATAAAATAAAATTTTAAAAATGAATCACATTTTGTCTTCAAAGTTATAGAAAATTAGCAAAAAAAATAATGTTGTTAGAGAGGGCAATAAATAAGAAAAAAATTAACAGTTTAAAAATACGAGAAAATTGGCATAACGCAATTTAAAAATAAATGACATTTAGTCCCCATAGTTAGAGAAGCAAAAACTAAGAAATAGTGTAGTTAGAGAAAGAAATTAAATATTAAAGAGATGGTCGGTTGAGAGCGACCATTTGAGAGCGAGATGGGGAAATTTTTAAAATTCTTAATTTTCAAAAAATCGATACTAATCGATAAAATCAATACTAATCGATAATTTATTTTTTAAAAATTCTAAATTTTCAAAAAATCGATACTAATCGATAAAATCGATACTAATCGATAATTTATTTTTTAAAAATTCTAAATTTTCAAAAAATCGATACTAATCGATAAAATCGATACTAATCGATAATTTATTTTTCAAAAATTTTCATTTTTCAAAAAATCGATATCAATCGATAAAATCGATACTAATCGATAATGTATTTTTAAAAAATTTTAATTTTCAAAAAATCGATACTAATCGATAATTTATTTTTTAAAAATTATAAATTTTCAAAAAATCAATATATTGATTTTCTGTATAGTTACATCCAAAAATCGATTTTCCTTATTAACTTTGCACTAAAAATAAACATGTCTTCAAATTTTATTTTCAACAAATATAATCAACTTTAATTTAGAACAATATTAAAATCAACAATTTCTCTTTTTAAGCATATCCATATTGTTCCAAAACTTTGTCGTAAACAGCAGTCTTCGGCTTTGCCTTCTCAGTCGCCTGTCTCTTCAATTTCAGTTCAGCCTTCTTTTTAGTGTAATAAGCAGTCGCTTTAACCTTGCGTTTTTCTTCAAGTTTTGCAACTATTCCTTGATATTGCCAGCCAACTTCATGTGCCAAACGTCCAACTAAATAATAAAAAATGATTAGATTTAGGAAGCATGATCGTTTAAATGATTGTCTTAAACGAAAAACGGAACACAGAGAGAGAGGAGAGGGATATCAAGATAAGTACATAACAGTGATGGTATTTCCCAAAATTTTACGAAAAATGAAACGACGTAAGGACATGAAATGTAAAAAGCTGTTTGTTAAGTGATTGTGTTACCGAAACACTGTCATCAGAAAAGAGTGGGTTCGAACCAAGTATGTAAAGTCCGGTTACTTATATACAATCAACGAAGGTATGTGTCAAATTTTACGAATACCCAAGATAAGGACAAGCAATGTTAAACGCCAACAGTTAAGTGGTTATCACTAAACGAACCATATTGAACAAAACGGGTTCAAACCACGCATACAAATAAGTTAAGAATGCAACCAAATACCCAAAATAATGAAAAGAAATGCTAAAACCTGTGCAATATTTCCGGCGAGGCTTCAAAGCAATATGACGCAAAGAGTTTGGAAGAACAAACTTCTTTCTCTTGTCATAAGGATGAGGACAACCATCAAAACACTTGAGCTTCTTGAGAGCTTCCATTCCTCGAGCTGTCTTGTGGGGCAACATTCCACGAACCTTGAAATGATAAAACAGTTCCAAATTATAACTAAAAATAAACCGTTCGCCAAAAGATTCTAGAAGGCGCTCTATAGTGGAAAGGACCACGAGATGGCTTCACATTACAACGTTTACGCAAGAAAGCCAAAAATTTGAGTTTTGAACGATGAAAGTTTCCAGAAATGTTGATAGCCTCACAACGAACAATAACAATCTTCTGGCCAAGCAACAATTGCTTTGCTACAATAGCAGCCAAACGTCCAAGCAAATGGTTTTTGCCGTCAATAAGAATAGGTTTTGTCTGAAATCCCATTTTTTATTTTAAAGTTTTATCTGAAATTGAAAAAGGATTGTTAAATTTAGAAAATTAAAATCAAAAATGTTTGTCAAAAACAATTAAAAAATGGAACAAAATCTCAAAAATTTCTCTAACAACCTAATCACACACTATTTTTCATTTTCATAATGTAAACTTTTAAAACACCTAATTTCTAAACGTCACTATTCTCAAACACGTCCAAAATTTCTTTTACTCTCTAACTACACACTATCTAATTTTCATAGTGTAAACTTTCATAATATCTATTTCTAAATATCAAAACCAAGGGAACATTACAAAATGCCCAATATAAGAATGGTTATTCCAAGTTTTCATTTAAAAATGCCATGTAATGAAAAATTAGTTAGTGAAATAAAAAAAAATAAATAATAGCGATTAAAAACGCATTTAAGTGGATAATAAAAATAAAAAACTGAATAAAATTAATAATTAGAATTTTATTTTATTTACAATAAAAATATGATTATGAAAGAAAAAGAATTTTTCTACAAAATTTTTGCTTAGAAATTTCTTTTTAATCTCTTTGTTTATGCAGTTTTTGAAGGGAAAAAGAATTTTTAAAAATTAGCTTTCATGTTAATAATTAATTAATTTCATAATTAACTCGTATAATTCAGGGATGCCACAGGTTGAAAAAAAGTCGGGTCGGGTCTTCAAAAATTTATTCGGATCGGGTCGAAAAAATCTCAGGTCGAGTCATTTAGGAGATTAAGAGGGGAAAAGTTGAGTAGAGTTTTGGATAACCCGTAAAACATCCCTGGTATAATTTACAGACAAAAAATAAAAATTTATTTAAATAAAAAAGTAAATTGATCACCCCCACCACCATTATTTGAAGAACAACCATTATCTTCTTTTTTAACATTTTCTTCTTTTAATTGTTGATTTATTAAAAAATTAAAAGGATCATTATTATTAGTTGTTGGATTCTTTCTTTGTATTGGAATAAAATTATTATTTGGAGGAGGAATTGGTAATGATGGAAATGATGAGGAGTTATTAAAGGAGGGTTTTTGTGAAGATATTGAGGAGGATGTTGGTGGAGGTAAAAATTCTGCAAGAAAATCTAAAGAAGGTTGTTGCTGTTTTTCTTCATTTAAATTAATTTTTGTTGAAGAAAATATATCAAAATTAATTGAAGGCTCTTCTTGTTGATTTTTAGTAAAATTTTGTGAAGATACAAGTGATGATGGAGGTGAAATAAATGATGAAGATAATGATTTGTGTTGTTGATTTAATGAAGGTGAAGTTAAATTTTTAGTTTGAAAAGATTGGTCTTGTGGAAAATTGTTAGTATTTTCTTTCTGAAAAATTACAAAAATTCTTTTTTGAATTAAATAAGGGGTTGTCGGTTCGAGAAACCAATTGAATGTTCGGGGATTTTCGGGTAAGGTTCCTGGCGGAATCCAAAACATATCGGGATATTTCAGAGTCAGATCCACGGTTCTTATGAAGAAAAAGGGTTTTTATGTTTTTAGAAACAACGAAAATATAAAAAAAGTTATTTTTGTATTCGCAATAGAAAACAAAAAAATTTTTCTCGAATTAAATAGGGGTGTCGATTCGAGAATTAAATAATGTCTCCCTACCAATAAATCTCCCTAGCTTCTTCGGATATCCAAAAAATTTTTCAAGAAGATACAACCCTTTAAAAAAAAAAGTTTCCAAACCTCATTCTTTTTTGTTGCTATTCCACCGCCCACCAAAAAATCTAAATCGCCCAAATCCATTGATACTCCTGCTGCTGTTTGTTGTTGTTGCTGTTTTATAGGTGATCCTTCATTTGACACTATTTCCTCCAACACTTTTCCATTATTTAAATAATCGATAAAATTGTTGACTTCTCTTAAAAAATATTTAAAAATTCCTACAAAAATTTTTCAAAAAAAAACCTTTGTTCTTCCTGACTAGCACTCAACTTCCCCAAATAATGTTTATGTTCTACAGTCATTTTATCAAGAAGACAATGTATAAAATCAATAAATTGATTAAAATTTGGCAAATTTAAAGAAGCTTCGATTGATGTACTGACCAAGAAGGGAATGACACTTTTGGCACCTTTAAAAGGAAAATTTTTTAAGTTTATTAAGAAAAATTTACATTGTTCTTTACTAATTCCAAAACGATCATTTTCAAAAATTAATTTGTAAAGACCTTTAATAAATAAATTTTAAATTAAAAAAATATTTTTTAAGAAACCTAAAACAGCCATTAAAACACCCGGATCTTTGCTATTAACTTTAGGTAAAGAAGGAAGTAATTGATCAGCAACCATCCAAGGTTCTAAATTATTTAATAATTTGGATAAACAGGTAATAGTTTCTATACGAATCTAGAAAAAAAATTTAAAAAAAAAATTAGAAAAATTAACAAAAAAAATGTCAAAATTCGTATTGAGACAATTTACCATAATTAGATAATCACCTCACCCAATCGAATTTTAAAATATTTTAGCTTTCGTGACGAACGACAACGCAAACTAAAATGCGAAATCGTGCTTTTTGGAAAGCAAAACAATATTTAGCCAGCAAACGGGATCGAACCACTGCAGTTGCCAACATAGAATCTAACACATTAACTATTACACCACAGACGTTTATGACCGATTTTCTTAGAAAACTCACAAAACCCTTTGGAATTTTAATAAAATTAACTACTACAACTTTAAAGTCCCACAATCCTTAATTTAAAAAATCCAAAAAAAATATTGAAAAATAAAAAATAAGAACCTTATTCTCCTTCGCTTCAAGCACCATACGAAGTAATTTAGGTAAAAATTGGGTATGCATTTGTTCTCTATCAATATATTTAACTAATCTAGGCAATTCCAACAAACAAAGTTCCTTTTTTAATAAAAAAATTTTTTTTAAATAAATTTAAAAAAACCTGTATTTTAGTACTTTCATTACTCAACGAATTAAAAATTAAAGGAATTAAATGTTGTTTTAAAGATGTTGTTGGCATCTTTTTTAAGAATAAATCGACTTTGTTTAATAATAATAGGCCAATCTTTAATTAGAAAAAAATTTTTTGAGATTGAGAAAAAATTTTTAGAATTTTCAAAAATTTCGGAAATATCCAAAAAAGTTCAAAAAAATTAATAAAATTTCCAGATTCCAAAAAATTTTTTAAAATTTCAAAAAAATTAAAAAGAACCTGATAAGGTGTTTGTATAGGAAATACTAAAACAAGTGAAGGCATTATCTCTTCTACAAATTCTTCACTATTACAATTCTCTACAATAATAAAAACACTTTCCAAAATAAAAGGTATTAAAATTGGCGTTCCAAATTCTCCAGCCAAATGAGGATAAATTTTTTGAAGTTGAACACGGAGAGGGAATTGAGGAATTATGTTTGGTAAACTCTTTAAAAATTAAAAAAATTTTTTTTTAAATTTCAAAAACCTTGAAAAACTGAATTTTTTGAGACACATCCAAAGCATTCCTTGAATCCAAAAAATTTAATGTTTTAACCAGTGGATGTTCAAAATATTTTAATTTTGTAAATTGAATGACGGGAAGCCTTTGTTCTGGTGCAGGATTGAGACATTTACTTAATGCTTCTTGTAGTTCTTCTGGAACTTGTTTATTTTGTAAAATGGAAGGGATAGAATGTCTCAACTTGAAAAAAGAATTTTTTTTAATTTTTAAAAATATTTTTTCCTTACATTTTCAAACATTTTTCGATAACAAGCAAAAGAATTTTGACTTTCCATAATTGACTTTCCTTTATTAAAACAAGTAATAGCAAGCATTCCAAGCGAAAAGATATCTGAAGAATAGTCAAAGGTGTCACCCTGAACAAGTTCTGGAGAAACATAATCGAGGTCTGGGCATAAAGCAGAAATTGAATTTCTGCTCCAATTGGGTATTTCGAAAATGACCTGTTTTTTAAAATTATTTAAGAAAAAAAATTTTAAGTTAAAAAAACCTTATCTTGTGTAGAAACAACCCCAACTATACAAAAATCAAAACTGGCCAATTTCCAATCTCCTTTCTTATTTATAATTATTGAACTGGGAGAAATATTTGAATGAACCATTTTTGTGTCATTGTGAAGAAAAGCTAAAGCTTCGGATAACTTAAAAGAATTTTTGGTAAAATTAAGAAAGCCAAAAGAAACCTGAAATAGACCATGTCGAATTTCTATACTTTCCAAAGAAAAATCTTTTAAACATTTTGGGGTAGACGGCATATTACCAAAATCGTTGAAACAATTGGCAAGGCTAGCGAATACTGGCTAAATAAAAAATATAAATTAAAAAAATAAAAGATAAGAGACCAGAAATTGGGAAAGTACCTGAAATTGGGAAGGTTGTGAAACGGGTAGGGTTCTCAAAAAATTTTTAGGATTGGGGTTCGGGTTGAGAAAAAAAGTCGAGTTGAGTTTCAGATAACCTTGCCCGTCCTTAGCAAATACTTGATCAATGGAATTTCGAGAATGAAAATAGACAATCATAAAAACAAAAAAGCTATTCTAAACACAATGATCCCACAAAAAGTATTCTGAAAATTTTCATTGGCAACCTGAATTATTAAATCAGGGGAAAACAGAACTCTCTCCTTACTACAAAAAATTATTAAAAGAACCTCTGTACAAAAAGCAAAACAATCTCTAGATTCTTCCAAAGCTCTTTCCACTCTCAGAATTCTTGGATGCATAAGTCTTGTTAATTGACTAACACCTCTTTTTAAAACTTCAGGAAACTCTTCCCTCTTTACTTTTAACCAGTTTTCCATTTGCTTCTTTTCAAAAATCCAAACAGCGACATCCTAAACAAAAAAATAATTTAAAAAAATTTTTTAACCAAAAAACCTGTTTTGTAGAATTTCTTGTAGCTGAAAATATTTTCCAACACAAACCTGGCCCAGCACTAGCAACTTGCTGCCCAACAGTATATTCACGAAGAATTGGATTACCTGGCAATGCTAAATTAACTTGTGCAGCTACAGAGTGGACTTGGGCAGCAACAGATGAACGAATCTTTTGAAGGTAATCCATTTTAAGCTAAATTTAGTTAAAAAACCTTAAAAAATTAATTTTATTTTTAAAAAATTAATAAGCATTGAAATGACCCTATTTATGTTGGAATTGGCCAACTAAGCGCCACATATTTTTACATTATTTACTCAAATTTTTGAAATTTCCCTCGAATATTAAAAATTTAGAAGGGACCACGGGGGAATCTAACAGCCTTTCCAAAATTATAATAAGGGTCATCCATTCGAAATTACTTAAAAATGACGCTTAGTTACCCAATATCAGAAAGTCCCGCTGTAAAATATTTAAAAAATTAATGGAAAATAAAATATCCATTTTATGAATAGATAAACACAAATCATTTTTAAAGAATAATATCAAAATTTATTACTAGGATTAATAAAAATTATTAAAAAATGCAAATGTCCTATGTTATTAAAGGGAAGCACGCCGTAATAACAAACATTGCAATACCAAACCTATAAAAACTGCCAAAATACCAGGCCCAACTAACAAGTGTGTTCACCAACAGTTGAACGTGTTAAAAAAAGAATTTTATTGAAAAAATTCAAAATAAAAAAGAAACCGTCAAACAGGTACACGTGTACATCCAAAGCAACATCAAAAATTGTCCAACAGGCTGTCGTCATCAATTAACCTCAAACTAAAAGGAAAAAAATCTGATTAAGAATTAAAAAAAGAAAACCAGAGAGTATCGAACCCATGACCTATCATACCAATTTAGCCATCAATGATTTACTAAAATCAAATTTTTTCTATACGTAAAATGTGAATTTTGGTAGTTTGGGGTCTTTTCGGTTTTTTGGTCTCCAAGTAAATTCAAAAACCATAAAAATAAATTAAAATAACCTTTCAACTTCATAAGCGACCCAGTAACATGACGAATAAAAGCAAATACAAGCAAGTCTGCTGTAGCCATCGATTTGCCGGGACACGTCCAAGTAGGCGCACGGCCAAGTAGGCGCAAAGCCATAACTACCTGAAAAATTTGTGTACCTTAACAATTTTGGTACCATTCTCTTTAGCTCGATGAGAAGAATCGTTTAATACCAAATTTGGTAAGATTCGGAAATTTTGAAGCAAGTTATGACTTTGCGCCTACTTGGCCGTGCGCCTACTTGGGCCGTACCCCAATTTGCCATATGTCCCTACATTGCGGCAAGTTGTGATTCAAACGTTCAGCCATTTGCTAAAAAACAAATATCAATTTGTCCAGACAAACAAAAAAACCTGAATAAACCCTACAACTCTTCATAGTAAAAATAATATTTTGAATTATCGAGCCAAACATGTCCAAACCGTTTCCCTTGGGTTTTTATCAAGGAATCGAGGGAATTAACCTTTATTAGCGGATTAATCTTAGGGAGAGATATTTGCAGGCAAAACTTGCACTTTTATTAAAAATATTAAAAACAAACCATCTTTGATTCTTGGTTGCTGTTAACGGTTCTGTTGTCGTTGTTGTTGGTGCTGATCTAATGCTAAAATTAATGGGAGGACCCCCAATGTTAGAACCAAAAACTCATGGAAAACTCCGCTGAGACCCATTGAAAAGTCAACTATGAGACTCATGGGTAACTGAAAAGTCAACTATGAAACTCATGGGTAACCCTCCGCTGAGACCCATTGAAAAGTCAACTATGAGACTCATGGGTAACCCTCCGCTGAGCTCATTGAAAAGTCAACTATGAGACTCATGGGTAACCCTCCGCTGAGCTCATTGAAAAGTCAACTATGAGACTCATGGGTAACCCTCCGCTGAGCTCATTGAAAAGTCAACTATGAGACTCATGGGTAACTGAAAAGTCAACTATGAGACTCATGGGTAACCCTCGCTGAGACCCATTGAAAAGTCAACTATGAGACTCATGGGTAACCCTCCGCTGGGACCCATTGAAAAGTCAACTATGAGACTCATGGGTAACCCTCCGCTGAGCTCATTGAAAAGTCAACTATGAGACTCATGGGTAACCCTCCGCTGAGCTCATTGAAAAGTCAACTATGAGACTCATGGGTAACTGAAAAGTCAACTATGAGACTCATGGGTAACCCTCGCTGAGACCCATTGAAAAGTCAACTATGAGACTCATGGGTAACCCTCCGCTGGGACCCATTGAAAAGTCAACTATGAGACTCATGGGTAACCCTCCGCTGAGCTCATTGAAAAGTCAACTATGAGACTCATGGGTAACCCTCCGCTGAGCTCATTGAAAAGTCAACTATGAGACTCATGGGTAACTGAAAAGTCAACTATGAGACTCATGGGTAACCCTCGCTGAGACCCATTGAAAAGTCAACTATGAGACTCATGGGTAACCCTCCGCTGGGACCCATTGAAAAGTCAACTATGAGACTCATGGGTAACCCTCCGCTGAGCTCATTGAAAAGTCAACTATGAGACTCATGGGTAACCCTCCGCTGAGCTCATTGAAAAGTCAACTATGAGACTCATGGGTAACCCTCCGCTGGGACCCATTGAAAAGTCAACTATGAAACTCATGGGTAACCCTCCGCTGAGACCCATTGAAAAGTCAACTATGAGACTCATGGGTAACCCTCCGCTGAGCTCATTGAAAAGTCAACTATGAGACTCATGGGTAACCCTCCGCTGAGCTCATTGAAAAGTCAACTATGAGACTCATGGGTAACTGAAAAGTCAACTATGAGACTCATGGGTAACCCTCGCTGAGACCCATTGAAAAGTCAACTATGAGACTCATGGGTAACCCTCCGCTGAGCTCATTGAAAAGTCAACTATGAGACTCATGGGTAACCCTCCGCTGAGACCCATTGAAAAGTCAACTATGAGACTCATGGGTAACTGAAAAGTCAACTATGAGACTCATGGGTAACCCTCCGCTGAGACCCATTGAAAAGTCAACTATGAGACTCATGGGTAACCCTCCGCTGGGACCCATTGAAAAGTCAACTATGAGACTCATGGGTAACCCTCCGCTGAGCTCATTGAAAAGTCAACTATGAGACTCATGGGTAACCCTCCGCTGAGACCCATTGAAAAGTCAACTATGAGACTCATGGGTAACTGAAAAGTCAACTATGAGACTCATGGATAACCCTCCGCTGAGACCCATTGAAAAGTCAACTATGAGACTCATGGGTAACCCTCCGCTGAGACCCATTGAAAAGTCAACTATGAGACTCGTGGATAACCCTCCGCTGAGACTCATTGAAGTCACCCATGAAAGACCCACCCTAAGGAGAAACTAAAGTGATACCCCTAAAACTTGAAGATGAAGAAGCATGTTGATGACGAACACTAAAAAAGAAAAATTGTAGAAAATGCTTCAAAAAACAGCAAGTTTTGCCCGCAAAATCCCCAAGGTAAATAAAATGATGGCCACTTATCGATTAATTTCAAATTGGTAGAATCCATTTTGTTAGAATCCATCAATATCAAGAAAGTCCCGCTGTAAAATATATAAAAAATTAAAGAATTAATGGAAAATAAAATATCCATTTAGACAAACACAAATCATTTTTAAAGAGTAATATCAAAATTTATCACTAGGATTAATAAAAATTATTAAAAAATGCAAATGTCCTATGTTATTAAAAGGGGAGCGCACTGAAATACCAAACATTGAAATACCAAACCCATAAAAGCTGCCAAATTGTGGACGATTGCTCCATCAACTTAGAAGGCTGTTAACCATCCAAATTTTAGTATTTCGGCTGTTTTTTTGGGAATTTGGTATTTCAGCGTTTGGTATTACAGCATTATACATTAATTAAGGATGCAAAATATCAAACAAAAAATGTAATAATAAAAACATTAATAATTTTTTAAGCGCATCTCTGGTGTGTTTTTGTTAAAGTATATTGTTTATTTATTTTTGTAAAATCCACAAACTTTTTAATTTAAAGTGAATTTAAATTGTTTTCCCTGTCACTCGATACACCAGAACATGAAGCTCTTCTTTTTGACATTCGTTTGACAGAAAAAAAGATTAATAAAGTACACACCTTTTAATAAAAAAATTTTTTTTTGAATTTTTTAAATTAAAAAACATACAAAAACAAGGTTAATCCCAGCAATAAAAGTTGTTGTTAAAGGAAAACCAAAAGTTTGTACAGAAAGGCCACCTAATGTTGGACCGATAAAAGCTCTTTAAAAAAATTAAAATTATTTTTGAATAAGTAAAAATAATTAAAAAAAACCCAAAGGCAAATGCAGATTGAAAAACACCAGACACACACCCGTATGTTTGAAATGAGTCATCATATCCATTTTCCCTTTAAGAAAATAATTTTTGAGAAATTTTCAGAATTGAAAAAGAAACTAACTTTACAGCGTCAAGACAATTTTGAAATGTTGGAATATAGAGAGCACCTTTAAAAAATTTTTTTAATACGTAAAAATTGGGGCTCTAGGTAGGAGGTCAGTCTTTCTTTGGAGCTCAAGTCTTCGAAAAAAGATTCCAGGGATAACGGCGGGAGGGGATTTCAATGCTAATTTAAATCCTGGGAGAGGATTTAATGCCCACTAGAAGTCCCTGTCTCAATGTTAGTAGAAACATTGCCAATCCGGTAATATCAAACTCCAATTTTAAAAAGGAACCTGCTGCAATTCCCAAAATTGCTAGAGATACACCAATTAAAAAGAGATTTCTAAATGAAAAAAATTTTTTGAATGAAATTAAAAAAGAAAACTTGTCAATATCCAAAAAAGGAGAAGGTCCAACAAAAAGCATTGAAAAAGTCGTTGCAGTAGAACCAAAAAGCATTAATAAATTGCAACAATGCCAACGATCTAGTATAAAACCCCAAAGTGGAGCAGTCACACAATAAAATCCTCCACAAAGAAGAAACATAAATCCAACCATTATTGTTGATAAGTTGAACTAGAAAAAAATTTTTTTGGAAAAAATTCGGAAAGGATTTAATTCAAATTGGAGGGCTTGAAGAAATGGATCCATACAATCATCTGACAATGAGTTCGTTTTAATAATGGAGGCTTTATGAGACTAGAAGTGGACTAAAAATATAAAATAAGGGAACCAGTGTTTGAAGCTCGTATACAAAAAAGAATTTGAAAGCTCGTGCTTGAGTAATAAGAAAAAATTAGACACCGAACTGCGGGGGACGGAGATGAACCCAAAAATTTGAATACCCGTCGCTGTGCCGCGTAGAAGAAAAATTAAAATTTCTAATTATAAAAAGGAAAAAAAAACCTGAGCAAGGTGTCCAGCTAAAGTCGGATCAAAGAAAGATAAAGATATTGCACAAATAATAACAGCAAAAACCATTAACCAAATAACAGGAATTCGAAGCATTGAAAGCATTCCCATTGCATCCTCAGTTGGTTCGTCATCAATATTTTCAATTAAAAAATAAGAAACAGCTGTAGCAAAAATTAAAAGAACGCCAAGAACGAAGAAAGGTAATTGAAACCCGCCATATTCGTAAAGGACACTTCCAATTATTGGACCCGCTGTATAGCCAAGACCAGCAAAAGTTTCCATTATGCCCTAAAAAATTGGAAGAAGGTCAAAAATATTTTGGAGCAGTTCAAATGTCCCAGCCCTATAACTCAAAAAGAGGCGGATAATATTTAATGTTTTTGGTATCAATGGAGAAAGAATTAAATACACCACAAAATAGAAGAAAATTAAGAACCCTGACCGGCTGATATAAAAAATAAAAATTTTTTCAAAAATATGATTTATCAGAGCTTGTAGTGCATTTAATTCTTTATCCATTGATACAAAGAACATTAAGAAGTGGCCATCCCTTCATACATTATAAAAGCCGGAACTCCGTCGAGGTGTACCAGAAAACTTTATAAAAATTAAAACAAACAACAATCGTTGCAATTCTTCCAGGAAAGCATTTTGCGCTTATTGCAAAAGAAGAGGTAACGAAACAAGCATCACCTAAAGCTTCAAGACATCTAATAACTAAAGAAGACCAAAAGAAAATTCTTCCGGCAGGCAAAAGATTTAAAGTTCCAAAACCAATAGCTGTAATGCCTGTTATTAAAAGGCCAGTTATAAACATTCTTTTTGAGCCAACAGAAGCCATCTAATTTTTAAAAATTATAAGAAATATTTAAAAACGAAGCTAAAAGCTAGAGTTCGAATCCAGGCCAGGAACGGTTTTCCGGGACCGAGAGCCCAGGAACAAGGTATTTTGATAAAATCTGGTTTTTGGGTGTTTGTGGCTACCGACCTGGGTAATAAGTTATATGCCCGACCGGGTCAGCTTGAAGGAAAAAACTCGGAAACCGGGCCCGGCAATGTGAAAAGTTCAAACTCTATTAAAAAACAAACATATTTTCCCAGAAAAGGAGCAGTAATGAACATAACCAATTCAAAAATACCAAAAATAAGTCCAATCTCGGAGGTATTCATACTTAAAATTAAAATCAATTTTAAACAAAAAATTTAAAAAACCCTTTAAATTCAGCTTCCGTAGGATAAAAAGGCGCAATACAACTAAAAGCTATTGTGCTGCAAAGATTAGCTACTGCTAGCATTCCAATTGTTGCCAATTGCTTTTTTGTCAATTCAGAAAAACGAGTATAAGAAGAAGATTCACTACTACTGCTACTACTAAAAAATTTTTTGGGAAAATTTAAAGTGTTTTTAAAATTTATAGACAGATTTACAAAACATATTCCCTTCTAGTTAAGAGGCAGGGACGGGTCGAGTAACCCAAAAACCTTTGAAACCCCGATCAAAAACCAAATCAGACTCTTTTCCTAATTATCAACCCAAACCCTCACTGTTCAGAATATCTGCCCACAAAAAAACCCCAAACACCTTAAAACCCAAAAAAAACCTTTTATCTTCATCATCAGACTCATCAGATTCCATTTCACCTTCAGGTATTGTTTGATGCAACATTTGTTCAGTAACAACATTATTCACTTTAATCGCAGGAACAGAGCCATACTTGCTTGTTTGATTGCGCGTCTCATTTTTAACAGTTAATTTGTCAACTCCACTTTTTGGTAAAAAAATATTTGTAGGCACTATAGTTGCTGATGTTGGTTGTTGAGGAGCTGTTGATATTGTCCGAATACCTTGTAAACTAGTATTTGTTAGACGTCTATTTTTAGCACCAACAGAAATTTGGGTTGCAAAATTCGGCATAAATGGTGAGAGAATTAATGGGCTAGAAAATAAGAAAAAATTCATTTCAAACAAATATCCATCCAAAGGACGAAATTCTTTCTTTATAGCCGTTGTCCCGCAATTAAATCCTAATAATTCTTAAGTGTAGGAATTAGAACCTCCCGACCATCAGCTTAAACATCCATAGATGTGAAAAAGGAGATTCTCAAGGGGTGAAAAAAGCAAGGAACCCCGCCTGGAATGGTTCTTTCCTTAAGGACCCATATCTAAATCCCAATAACTCTACTCCCGATCATCAGCTCAAATCTAATTCCAGGCCTTAAAAGAGAGTTTCAGACCCCACCCGATCCCTTCGCCTTAAGAACAAATTTATTTTAAAAATAAAATAAAAAATACCGCATTTTAGATAAGTCAGTGTCACTATAAATCCTTCTACGACGCCTATTCCTCTTATTAGAATGTCGATTACGCCTTCGAGGACTTCTATTCAATTGTTCAACAGATTGAGATGTTGAAGCTTGAAAAGACAAAATATTTCTTTCCTCATTCTCAGGCATAAAAGGGCTATTTTCTCTTCCAATTTCCTCATCTTCTCCTTCATGTCGTTCATTGGTCAAAGGTTCATTGAGCATTGAAGGTAATGAACTAGAATCGAGATTTGAAAAATTATGTTGGTCAAAATTTAAATTAGACATCCCTGACATTTTTTTAAATTTTTTTTTGAAAATTTTTTTATCTGAAAGACTCTAAAACAATTAAAAATTAATTACAAAATATTTTTTACAACTGTTTTTAGAAAAAAAAGTTAAAAATGAAACGTCAAAATTTTCGAGGATTAAAAGAGAATTTCTTTTCCCTCTCCTAATTTAACACACTCTCTCGTTCATAATAAATTAATTTGAGTCTATACATTTTGCCAAAACGACATTTTGCCAATAACGGTAAAAATATACGTTTTGCCATCAAACTGTGTGGCAGAACGAGAAGTTTTAGCCTTATTGGCGAAATGTGTGATGGTCTTTATTTTTGGGAGTCTTAGACTCAAATGGAAAAAAATGACAGGAACTGAAAGAAAAAGAGAAATAGTGTGTATTTTGAAAAGCTTTATTTTAAGCTTAATTTAATCTTTTTAAATCCCCGATTTCTAAACTTTAAGCTTTCATAAAATAACAAAAAAAATTTTTATTTACCAAGCGCTGAGTAAAGGAGTACATTCATCGTTTATTGAATTATTTCTTGAATTTGGTTGCGACATTTTTGTATTTATTTAATTTTGTTGTTTCTTTTCCTCTCCAAAACAAAATTAATAAGCTTCTTTATTTTAATTTAATTAAAATTAATTAAAAAGAATTTTTTAATATGCTTAAAATTAAACAAACTTTTAAAAATAATAATTAGAATTACTCAACAAATTTTTTTAACAAAAAAATTTTTTATTTTCAATTTATGAGGGAATTGATTTACCCTAACTACCTTATTTATAAATAGATAACAAATAAATACTTTAAAAAAATATAAACTATATTTTACCCTTTTTTTAATAGAAGAATTATTACCCTTATTTATAGAGAGGTATTTATTTGTCTACACAGACTATAAAATAAAAAAATTATTTAATGACCGTTAAAAATGTGTCAGTTAAAAAACTACACAAGTCCCTATAAAAATGATAAAAGATAAAATTTCTTAAATGTCTCAATTTCTTCTAAAATTATTTTAAAATCCTCTTAAAAATTATAGGAATTAATTTAATTTTAAATTTAAATATTTTTTAATTAATTAATTTTTTTCAGATTAATTTAAGGAAAAATGGATTATTTATTAGATCGTTATATTTTTGATTATTTACCTTTTCAAATTTCTGATGAATTAAAGAAATCAATTTCTTCTTCTTCAATGTCTGTTGTTAAGGTTTACAAAATTTTTTATTTTTAAAATAAAAATTAAGGGCGTCAATGGGGTTCGAACCCACAACCCCCTCCCCCCCTTAAAATTTTTTTTAAAAATTTTTAAAATTTTTTCTTTCTTTTTTTAGTATGCTGATTGGTTTTGCAAAACTCAAGATGTTTGGAATTTCTTTGAAAATCATTTTACTTTTTTTGCTGCTGAAATTTTTTATTTTTTGTTGTTTGCTTTTACTTTAATTCATGGTTAGGTTTTTTTTCTTAAAAAATTTTCTAAAATTTCTTTAAAAAATTTTTCTAAAAATTTTCCCCGATTTTTCTTAGCTATTCGTCTCGGTGGACGTTATATTTACACTTGGTTAGGAATTTCTATGTTAATTTTCTCGCAGGAATATTTACAACTTGGGAAGCCGAAATCTGATTTTCAATGGCATTCTCAAGGGCTTTTAAGTTTTTGTGGTGGAAGAATCCCTATTTCGCGTGTTTTGGGTGTTCGGCATGTAGCTATGTATTCTGCTGTTGTTTTTATTGAAAGGTTTTTGTTTTATTAAAAAAATTGGGTTTGAAAATTTTGAGAAACTTGAGGGAGGTCGTTGGATTCGAAAGAACCCCACAGGGACCACGAATTTTTATCTTCTGAAAGGCCTTTTTTCCAAATTTTTTAAATTATAAATTTAAGGGCTTTTATTCCGGCTTTTATTACTCCTGCACAAGAATGTGCTTCTATGCTAAAATTTTTAGCTTTTTATGATATGCAATATTGTGCAACTTCTATTTTGGTTAATTTATTTATTGTAAATTAATTATTCTTTTATCCTTTTTTAAGGCTTTAATTATTAAACTTCCATACGATTTTCTTGGAACTTATTTTCTTTGGTGGACTTGGGATTTTGGCAATCCGTTAACTCAAGAGAAAATTTATGGTGTTCCTTGGATAGTTTTTGGTTTGTTTTTTTTGATTTTTTTTAATTATTTAGAAGTCCATCCTTTCTTCCCATTATTTTTTTAAAATTCACAAAAAAAACTCACTCAAAAATTAAAATCCCCCAAGTATTTTATTTATTTTCAGCTTATGATGCTTTTACAATCATCATATTTGTTTCTGTATTAAATCTTACACGACATTTTCTTCTTGATGAGACTTACAATTGGAAAATGTAAATGCCTTTAAATACAAAAAAAAACTTTTTTTTCAACTTTTTCAGGTTTGTCAAAGAATTCTTTTGTGCTGCTATTTCCGCCAGTCTTGCTTCATTACTCGTTTTGGGTTTGCTTGGTGCTATTTGTCTTTATGGAATTTTTCTATCTACAAGAACAATAGTGTTAATTATAATTTCTTACCAAATTTTGATGGCTATTCGTTCAAATAAGCTTGAAAAACACCCTTTCAATCCTTATTGGTTTGATGAACTCTCTTTTGTTGTTTCCATTCATTTTATTTTTCTTATGATGTTGGTGGTGTTTTACAATCCAATTTATGTTGTTAGTAGAGGATTTCATCAACCTATTGGACCATGCCAAGAAAAAACTTCTCTTTTATTAGGCTCGGAAATATTCTCATTTGCAAAGGTAAAAAATTTTTTCCCCCTTAATTTTAAAATTTTTCCCCCAAAAAGGGTATTGAGAAATCAACCTATTTTTGTTTGAACGGAACCGGAAGCGAATATTTTGATTTTCATTGTGTTCCAGGTGGAAAACCTGTTATTGATGACGATATCGTGGAATGGTATACAATTTGTGGGAAAGAATCTAATTATGTTTATCAATGGGAATATATTTATTTGATTTGGTATTTTAATTTTGTTTAATTTTTTGGGGAATCCTCCGTCCGGTTATTAGATAAAAGGGAGGTGATAATTTATCCCTTGTTCTATTTTCTTAACAGTCTGAAAAAAGTTTAGTTATGGATATATAAAAAATTTTCCGGTGTCTTGTTTCTAAAATCCTTCCTAAAAAAGATTAAAAAGCCAAAAAAATTTTTTTAGGTAACCCTTTGTCCAACCAGTAAAAGGAGTGTTGCGAATAACCCAAAAAAGATGCCTATAAATTTTACCCACAACTACCTAATTTCTTTTTTTAGGTTTCTCTGCATCCATGGCTCGATAATTCTTTACCAGGCAGCATCTAAATCTTGGGGAATCCAACAACTTCTTTCTAATATAAGGAAGAAGAATAATTAAATTTAAAAAATGGTATACAATAATTTATTTCTTTTATTTATTTCTCCCAAAGCCATACTTTTTTTGATTGAGATTCTCTGCCTTATTTTTCTCTTATTTATCTACATATCGTGCTTTAATCTCAAAAATGTGCTTTAAAAATAAATTTTAATCTTTAAAAACGCTCTTTTAATTATTAAAACATTGGGAAAGACAAAAAAAAAGTCAGGGTCCGTGTGGTAATGGAAGGGAATGATTTAATGATTAAATGAACCAAAAAGAAAAAACAAAATTGCACAATATCAGACAAAGATTAGGGTTAACTTCTTAATCTTCACAATTAACTTTTTAAAAACCCTTCCTCTTCCAGGGGTGGGACGGGGTAAGTCGTGTCAGACTCATAAATTTCTCAAACCGGTTTTCAGGTCGAAAAAAGGTCCGGGTTTTAGGTAACCCGTCCCATCCTTGCCTAGAACCCATTAAATCCTTCGAAATACCAAAAAACTTTTTATAAAAAATAAAAGATTAACCCTAATCATCACTTAACTGTATAAAGCTCAAAATTTAAACAGCACTACTGGCAAGGGACCCTACTGGCAATAAATTTTGGGATAAAAATCAGGGGCAAAAATTATATATCTTTTTAAAAAACTCTCTTAAATTCTCTCTTTAAAGACACTTTAAGCAAAATTATTCTTTTCTTTCAAACCTTTACGTTTCTCCCTTATAAGATTTGCCCATTCAACAAAAGGTTCTTCAGAAAATGCATTTTTGGTTGAATTAAAAAATTCCTCAAAATCCAAAGTTTTATCCTTTTCCTCATAACTTAATGCTTGAGCCAAAAAATCCTAGAAAAATTTTCTCGGGTCAAAAAATTTTTTTAACCATAAAAAATAAACTTGCCAGTTTGTCCAATTGTTTCACAGCTTTAGCTTCTGGAGTGCATGCTTCAGCATATTCTAACCAAAGTTGAGTCCAATTTTCTCCAATTGATGCTGGAACATAAGTAGAAATTTGTTCGACTGCCTTAAATAAGAAAAATATAAATTTTTTGGTACTTCAAAAAACCAAAGGGCTGAGTTTGCCCAACTATTTTCACAACTTTTTTCTTATTTAAGTCTTTTCTACAAAATTTAAACTCCTTTTACTCATGCCAGCTATAGCAACTACATATACCAGGAACGGGGTTACCCAAAATGGCAATTTGTTTTTCGACACAGAAACCCGATCCTAAGAAAAAATTGAAACCCCGACTCAATCCGGCTCATCTCTGCACAGCATCTTAAAATAGGCAGAGGCTGTTACTCGCCTTTCAGTGCTGTTTCAGCACTATGGTTTCAGTGCCAGGATTTCAGTGCCAGGGTTTCAGTGTGTGCTCTATTTAAGTGAATATGAATTGTATGCAATTATTAAAATGGAATGTTAATCATTTTATTTAACATTTAAAGGCATTTTAAATGAAAATAAATTTTTTCAAAATAGGTTTTTCCCTTTATTTTTCATTTTCTGAATTTAGTTACAAACCCATGTGTAACTTTTATAAAACATGTGAAAAAACGATAAATTTGGTTTTAAAACAAAGATAAGACTTTGTTTAACGATTTAGTTAAGATAAAATTTTTTTTCTAAGTTTTTTTTCGAGATAAAGCTTCTCGAAGTTGCAACCTCCAAATCTTTAGAAAATAGCACGCGAAAGAAATAGTGGAGAAAAGAAAAAGATACTGTATTTTTATTTTTTCAGTGCCACTGAAACGGCTTAAAGTAACAGGTTAAGATGCTGTGTCTCTGCCAGAGGTGGGTCGGAACAGTCAGAGGTGTCGGAAATCGAAAGAGCCGGAAATCGGAACTGACTCAAAAGTCGGGACTCGAAAATAAAATTTTTTTCGGAAATCAAAAATTTTTTCGGAAATCGGAATTCCGACCGACCTCTTCTGCTACCACCTCTCAAGTTTTCTTATAGGTAAAAAGTAACACACAAATTCTATTTCATTAAAAAAAATTTTTTAATCAACCTGTTTCTCAATAATATACTTCTTTTCAACAGACACACCACAGTTTGGTGTTATATCTAAAAAATAAAAACTTCATTCTAAAAAAATTTACAAAAAAAACCTCCAATTATTGCCTCTCCAATATCATGTACTAAAGCCATTCTAACACATTTATCAATATCCAAATCTTTTCGGCATTCAGCTAATGACATTGCTTAAATGTTTTTTAATTAAAAATTTAATCTTAAAAAATACATAAAATAGCCATTCTGTACATGTGCGAAGCAACAGTTTCACATTCAGCAACGGCGTACATGACCCAACCTTTTTTTAAAAAAAATTTTAAATTAAACGGCAAATTTTATAAGGAAATATTACGAGTAGACCTTAATATAGGTCTCTCCTAGGTTCAAACAAAATTGAAAAAAAACCGAAGTGTTAGGGTATATTTAATTCTAAGTTGAGTATTTTAAGATTTTTCAGGAACCCCTTAATTTTTTAACAGTGCTTATAAATTTCGATTTTGCCTTGTACAATGAACAGTAAACTATTTGGTGTTTATTTAGTATTGTATTTCCATGTATTAAATTAGAGAAGGGGTGGGTAAACCGAAACAGCGGATTTTTTCGAGCCAAAACACGACTCGAAAAACCCAGCCATCAGTCTACTTTTCTCTAAATTTTATAAAATACCTGTCCGTTTCAAATGCTTCAGACGATCAACAATTTCTAAAAGATTAAATAAATCAACAACCATTTTCTTTTCTTTAAATTCAAAAAAAATCTAAAAGATAAATTTTAAAAAAGATAAATTAAAAATAAATATAGTAGAATGTAATACAAAACAAATTAAAAATAAAAAAAAATTTTTTTAAATAAAATTTTTATCCATTTAAAAATAATTAATTAATTAAAGGACAGTTTGCGCTTAAAATTAAAAAAATTTATTCAAAAAAAAATTTTTTTTAACTTTAATTATAAACTAAAAACCAATTTATTATGTTTATTTAGTAGATAGCCCAAAAAAGAAATAATTTATTGCCATTTTTGAAAAATAAAAAAAGCAAGTCCCCCTATTTTTATTTTTTTCGCTAATAAATACTGTGTCCTAATGGAAAAAATTAAACTAGTTTAAATAATCTAATGTCCAATGTCTCTATAAATTTTACAAAACTGGATTTTTTGCTACTTTGATAAATTAATAGCTTGTTGCAAAAAATTTTTTTGAATAATTGTCAAAAAAATTTCCCAAAAAAATTTTTAAATAAAAAAAGGATAATTTTCAACAAAAAATTTCTTTAAAAATTAACTCTCAAAAAATTCCAAAAAATGGTTCAAATTAAAAAATAATTCTTTAAAAAAATTAAAAAGTTTAAAAAAATTGGTACTTTATGGATATGTCACCCCCCTCCTATTTTGAGTCTCAGAGTTTTCCTTAAACGTAGAAAATGGTCAGAGATTATTTTCTTCTCCATGTCAATCATCTTCCTTTCTTCAAGCAAAATAAGTGAAATGTGGTAAATGTAGAAACGAAATGAGTGAAATGTAAGTACAAAATATGTGAAAAGGCAAAATAAACAAGCAAAATACTTGAAGAAGAAAAAATGATTGACATGGAGAAGAAAATAATCTCTGACCATTTTCTACGTTTAAGAAAAACTCTGAGACTCAAAATAGGAGGGGGGGTGACATATCCATAAAGTACCAAAAAATTTTTTCCCAAAATAAAGCCTCAATTTTTGGACCAAAAAATTTTTCCCTCTAAAGAATCCCAAACTGTCCTTTAAAAACATGAGCATACTCAAAAAATAATTTTTTTTAATTAAAAAAAACTTTTTTAAACCATTCAAGATCCACTCGATCTCGCCGCTTCAATCAATTTTTGTTTAACTTGAGCATCTTTAACCAAATCCAAAGGAGTTTTTTCTTCTCTATTCATTTTGTTTATATTTGCCCCATAATTTGCAAGTAAAATAGCAACTTCAAATTGTCCATCTTCACAAGCTAAATTTTCAAAAAAAAATTTTTAATCACAATGGCCGATTCAGTTGCACATTTCCACCCATAACTTTTTAAATTCTTAACTGATTTAAATAATTATTATACCAATCGAAAGCTTTGAATGTGTGGATTATTTAAGCTAGCAGGACTGATGTGATCAGATCACCCCACAAAAAGTTATAGCCAAATAAAGAGCAAAAATCACGAGTTTGCGCACTTACACAAATGTAACTTTTTGTAGAATAATTTGATCAAACCAATCCTTTTGGCTTAAATAATCCTTAAATCCAAAGCTCTCGATTGATATAATAATTATTTAAATCTGTTAAAAATCAAACAAGTTATGGCCAAAAATATGCCCTCAAAACTGAATAGGTCATATTGAATTGTCGCTTACCCAAATGCAATGGAGTATCTCCTTCTCGATTAACCAAATTAACTTGGATTTGATTTTTATAATTTAACAAGAAATTGACGATTCTTTTATTTCCTTTACTTGCAGCACGATGTAAAGGTGTTGCTCCTCTATCATCTTGAGCATTTATATCAGCACCTTTTTCAAGCTAAATTTAAATAATGATTAGTTGCGAAGAAATTTTTAAATTCATTTTTTGTTGAGTTTGGACAGTTTGGCTACTTTTGGTGTTTCAAAAAGGTTTTAGGGGTTTATTGTTAGTATCATAAAGGGTTCGTATTATGAAACGTTTTGGGGAAGAGCCGTCTAACAATAATAGCAGATTTACACTTTTAAGCAGCTTTACCCAGCTCCCCAGAGTATACGAAAAATTCAGAATCAACTATAAATCTACTAAAATTCCAGTAGAAAAATATCTTTTCAAAAATATCCCTTAATAAATAAAAAATAAATAATAAAAACCAAACCAATTCTTGCACAATTTGTAAATGATCTTTAGAACAGGCATAATGTAAAGCTGATAGACCAGAACTGTTTCTAAAATAAATAATTTAAATGATTTCAATATTTGTCAAAAGGGTATTTGTCAGATCCATCCACCCTTTCCCCTCTCATTTTTTTGTAATTTTTTCTATGTTAAAATAAATGAACACATTACATATTTTTTAATTGATCATATCTTCTATTAAATTACTTTTAACACAACCGTAATTTATTTATTTTTAGAGGATGACAAAAAAAGTGGATGTAATATATAAATATTAAAAGTAATGAGTCATAAAAACAAAATAAAGAAAAGCTTTACGTTGAACGGGAAAAAGGATTTTAAAAAATCCTTAAAAGCTTAAAGGAAAAAATACAGCAATTCTTATTCAATAAAAAATATTAAAATTTAAATATGAATCGGGAATAGGTCTTCGAACAGGCTAGGGAAGGCGTTCGAAAAAAATTTCTCGAATTCGGTTTCAGGTCGAAAAGAATTGGGATTAGAGTAACCCGACCCATCACTCATTCAACCTTCAAATCTTTACCTAATCGAACTCAACTACTCACTTCCCCTAAAAGATCACTCTTATTCAAAAAAATTAAATGTAAAAAAATACTTTTGATTAATATGCCGCAATGGGAAACTCTTCAAAAAATCATCCTTCTTTGAATAACTCAATAAAAGACGAACAATTTCTAATTGTCCAGCAGAAGCTGCCATCATTAAAATAGTCCAATTATCATCATCTACTACATAAACCATCGAAGGATTCTTTTCAATTTCAGTTTTAACAAATTCATAATAACCAGAAATTGCTGCATAATGAAAAGGTTTACGTCCAGTTGAATCAGAATATTGACGCAAATTGGGTTGTTCTGCTAATAAACGTTCAGCTTTGTCAAATTCCTAAAAAATTCTTTCGAATGTAAAAATTAATTAACGGATTTGAACATTTAACAGAAGCCCTTACAGAAGGAAGTAAAACTAAGCCTAGGGTTGGACCACGACACCTAAATTTTTTGGATAACACAAATACACTGAACGTTTCAACAACGATAAATCCCACTCCCAACTTTCCAATCTAGAAGGGTCAGGATGCGATCTTCATCTGTTAGCCACCATTCAATCAAAAAATAACACCGTCAACTTGGAATAGAAGTTGGAAGTCTCATCCCATAAAATTCAAAAAAATCACAAATCGGAACACTCTCTTGCTTATAGAACAGACCTAAATACTTCTTGTCGTAGTTGAAAGCCCCAAGAGACCCCAAAACCAACCATTTAACCATAAAAAATAACAAACCTTGTCATGAAGAAACTGAATAAGTTCATTAAACGAATCCCTCACAGCATCTTTTTCAAACATTTCTTATATCTCTAATTTAAAATAAAAAGATTATTTTAATTAAAATTACAATCTAAAATATTTAAATTTTTTAAATTAAAAATTTAACAAAAATTTAATTAAGAGACCATAACTTTTATTTTCTTAATATAAATGAGCATCATACAAATCAAAAATACACATAAGAGAAATTGCACGTGTATATATGAAGGCAAGGCAGTAGGAATCGAGCTGGGTCTGGACCAAGGCCTTGATTTTTCCTATACCCAGAGTCCAGGTTCAGGCATTTTTTGACCTTCCTGGGGATTTTCCTGGACTAAAGGCCCCCGATCCAGGTCAAGAAATGAAACTTCAATGTCCAGGAACAAGTCCAGGCTTTTCAAAAATCTCAATCTCTACAAGGCAGTTACAAGATCAAAAATAAATTAAAAATAAACTCTCATTGTCATCATCAAACAAAAGGATTAAGTGAATTACGCGTAATAGTCATATAAATAGTCTCAAAATTTTCTTTTGCATTTTTAGCTTGTTGCTCTTCTTCAATAATTACAATTTGATTTCCCCCTTCTCTAGGGCTTAAAATTTCTTCTTTAACATCTAATTTTGATTTTTTATCTTTTAAAGTTGGTGGAATATATTTAACTCCAAAATTTTTAGAAATATGAACAACGCTTGAAATTGAACCAGTTTTTGATGATATAACACCACCAGACACCATTCTTGCATATTTCTTTTCCATAATCCAATCAGTCAAGGATGATCTACAAAAAAATTCTGTCAAAAAATTTTCCTTAAATTTATTAAAAATTTTTCTAAAAATCCAAGAAACCTAATCTCTTCACGTTGAATGTCTTCCATATTTGCTTTATATACAAATTCTTTTTCAAATGCATCCGTTCCTTTTGAAGTAATAAAGTGTGTCAAAAGACGTCTAAATTTGAAAAAAAAATTTTTTATAAATTTAAAAATTGTTACTTTGCCAAATTTGCAATTTCGTGTTTTGGCAAGCGAACATATCCTTCGATCATGATCTTAAAATTTTATTTTAAAAAATTATTTAGTGAAGAGATCATAAAGAAAGATGACTTTAAGTAGGGCAATTTCTCAAGTCTGAAATTCCCCAAAAATTAAAAAAATTAAACAAAAATGAAACGGCAAAAACAATTGAAGAGATTCGAGTCTCTGAAATAGATTAGAGTCGCTTTGACAGACAGATTCGAGCCCGTGTGGAAAAATTCGAGTCTTAATGTTAGTCAAGTGAGAGAGGGAATCCGAGCCTTAGTCACTTATTCAAAATTTTCTGATTGCCGAGCCACGTATCCAAGTATTGTGGGTAAAACCAGGTCCTTGCCCGGTTTCGAATTCCATACACTAAAATACACTCCCCTAAAAATTTTTTAAATAAAAAAACCATAGATTGAAGAGCAAAATGTAAAGGCAACAGTCTTTCAATAGTACTTTCCAAAGAAGCCATTGATGGCAAAAAGAAAGGATCCAAATCTGAGCTATTAGGCAAATATTGTCCTTGCAAAAAACGATAAA